GGAAAGAGTATTCCAGGCAGACAGTGTTGGTTGAGATGTATGTTTAAAGTAAAGAGGCAAGAAAAAAGATCCAAGCATTTTAGGAGCTGCAGATAGCTGGAGCATAGGATGAGGAAGGGTGCGGGGGAGGTTGTGAAGGGTGGGGGGGCGGTCGTGAAGGGACTTGCATGAAAGCATTTACTGTAGGATTTAAGGGTTTAAGTAGAGGAATGAAATGGTCGAATTTATGTTGTAGGGAAAAAACGTCTTTAAAAGAGAAAACACGGGGCAGAGAGATGGGTTCTTGGGTAAAGGCTGCCAACACTGACCAGAGTTTAATCCCCAGGACCTACTTGGTGGAACAAAGATGAGTCCTGAAATTTGTCCTCTGACTCCCACATGTGCACCATGGCACACGTACACACACACACACACACACACACACACACACACACACAAAACAAATAAATCAATGTTTAAAAATTTTAAAGAGGGACTGGAGAGATGGCTCAGCGGTTAAGAACATTGGTTGTTCTTGCAGAAGACCCAGGCTCAAATCCCAGCACCCACATGGCAGCTAACAACTGTCCGTAACTCCAGTCCCAGGGGATCTGACATGAGTTTAAGATGACCTTGGTCTACATAGTGAGTTCCAGGCCTGCTGGGGCTACACAGAGAGACCCTGCCCCAAACAAGACAATACCAACAACAAAAACTTAAAAAGAGAAAGCATCAAAGAGCCTTAGAGTAGGTATATCAAAATTAAACAAGGGCAGCAGGCGTGGTGGTGCACCTGTAGTCCCAGCACTTGGGAAGCAGAGGCAGGCAGAGAGTGAACTCACTCTCTGTGAGTTCAAGGCCAGCCTGATCTATGTAGTGAGTTCCAGGCTAGTTGGGGCTACAGGGAAACCCTGTTTCAAAAAGACCAATAAATAAATAAATAAATAAATAAATAAATAAATAAATAAATAAGGCTCCTCTAATTGCTGTATAAAGAATGGCATTAAGAGTCACTAAACTTAGAGCTGGAAAGCTAGCTTAGTGGTTAAAAACACTGGCTGCTCCTGCAGAGGACCAGGTTCAGTTCCCAGCACCCACATGGCAGCTAACAACTGTCTGTACAGTAGTTCCAAGGCAATCCAACACTCTCTTCTGACCTTCTCAGGTATTGCACAGCACGGGTACACTTATAAACATGCAGGCAATACACTCATACACATAAAGTAAAAATAATAAAATATTTTTTAAAAAGAGAATTACCGGCTGTCCTGGATCTGTCAGCACCACAAGCACAGCTGCTCTGCTGTGCCTGTAAGCATCAGGACAGAGAGCAAGTGGCTATTTCTATGCATGGTGTTCAGAAGCCAGTGAGCACTAGGAATGGTTATAGCCTGACATTCGGCCACCAAAAAAAAAAAAAAATTACGGGACTGGAAAGATGGTTCAGCAGTTAAGAGCACTAGCTACTCTTGCAGAAGACCTGAATTCGATTCCCAGTACCCACATGAAGGCTAACAATTGTCCTAACTAACTCCAGTTCCAGGGGATCTGATGCCTGAGTTACTAAGCTTAACCAGAGAGGACTCTGTCTACATACCTTAGTATACATCTCTAAAAAAAAATCTGAATATTTTCTTACTTAAAATGCCATTTTCATGCTTAACAGAATTAACTGTATAATTTCTTGGTATAATTCAGTATCTAGTGCATATTCATATTTCTTATCTCAAAATATCCTTTAATAGTTCCAGTCAGGATTTAAATTACAAACCAGTTTGCTAGTTTGGACTCAAAGGACTCTGAATTTATAGCAGTCCTTAGCCCTGCCCCCTATAAATACCATTGGCTTGAAGAAACCCTGTCTTTGTCCTGTTAGAACATCCCACATTCTGAACGTGTTTGCTTCCTCACATTGTAACTTATTCCTCTGTCACATATTTCTTCTGGACCAGGGGATTAGCTTTGAATGGCTAATTGCACTGTGATTCATTTTTTTCTCTGGGAGAGGACTACTTCATAGGGAGAGCTGTCAAGTACTTTGTCTCATAGTCCCACTAACAGGGACTTGTGGATACAGGTGGTGATGACAGTTCATTCTTCCCTTATAAAGTTCCCCTCAATCTTTCATTGAATGAGTTTATCCACTGATGGTTGTCTTCTGACTGAATTACTTCATCAGGGCCTACAAAAATGTTTTCTGTCCATCTTTTCACACTAGTTGAGTAAGAAAATGTGTAAGCTGGGAAGGTGGCTTAATAGGTAGTGCATTTGCTGTACAAGCACGAAGACTTGGCTTGAATCCCCAGAACCCACCTAAAAGCCTGGTACGGCAGCTTGGGGGCAGAGACAGGAGGAACCCTGGGGCTTGCTGGTTAGCAAGTCTAGCTGAAATGGTGAGCCTCAGGTTTAGGGAGGAACCCTGTCCCAAAAAATAAGGTGGAGGAGCCACTAAGGACGTCGTCCTGATGTCAGCCTCTAGCCTCCACACATACCCATATGGGTGAGTACACCAATACACATGTATACATATGCATATCTCACACACACATGAATATTCCTTTAATAAATAGGGGTATTTGGTTGTCTTAAAAACGTAAGGTTCAAAGGGCTGGGCGTGGGGGCACACACCTTTAATCCCAGCACTTGGGAGGCAGAGGCAGGCTGATCTCTGTGAGTTCAAGGCCAGCCTGATCTATATAACAAGTTCCAGGCCAGCTGGGGTGACAAGGAGACCCTGTCTCAAAAAAACAAAAAAAAGTAAGGTTCAAAAAAAGGTGAGTGCTTAAATTTGTTTTATTACCAATTTTTGGAACCTTCGTTGTTTTAAGAATTGAGAATGCTTCAACTTTATGACTTTCTGCATTGGCAAGTCTTGATCTCCCCCAAGAGATTATCTTATTTTTCTGTGGGAAACAGATCTTGTTTGCACAGGAGTCTGCATCCTTGGGTATGTGAGTGACTCTTAGTGCCACAAATCAGCCCATCTAGCCCTGTGCTTTTCAAAAAAACAGAACAGCCTTCAGTTTCTCTTCTGCTCTAGGTCATACTGTGAACAAGATGTGTAAACACTCAGATTCAGAGGTGGCTTGTCTTGCCAAAGAAGTTTACACTGAGTGGAAAAGCTTCATTGAAAAACATTTGGATAGACCTTCTATTGAAGTCCAAAGTGATCCCAAAACTGAGTCATTTCGAAAAAATGCCCGGAAATTACTCTCGGAAGCCTTGGAATTAAAGGTAAGGCCCTGGATGAAATTGATTACTAAAGCTCTTCATTAAATGAGCCTCAGGTTTCCATGATGACCTTTCACCATCATAATGCTGTAGCCGTATTCTAGTATGTTCTTCTAGGGGCTGGGAAGATGGCCCTGGGGTTAAGAGTACATCTGCTTTTCAAGAGGACCCGAGTTCAGTTCCCAGTACTCACATCAAGCAGCTCACAAAACCACCTGTAACTCCAGCTCCAGGGAATACAGTGCCTTCTTCTGGCCTCTATAGGAACCCACACCCATGTGTACATACAGACACGGGCACACAGTCTTGATTAAGGGTGTGATTATTGATAGATTAACCAGGCGCCAGTGGGTGGACCCACTCCAAAGGACATTTGAGGACATAAATTTGAAAAGAAAAAAATATATATATAATCATATATTTGTATCTATATCATACATATGTATATATCATATATATATATGAAATTGGGCAGGGGATAGTAAGGGGGGTGCAGACAGGGGAGGGGTTCTAAATACAATCAAAATATATGAAATTCTCAAAAATTCAGTAAAAATTAAAATAATAAAATGGATAGGCTATTTTTTAATATTTTATTATTTTTATTTTATGTGTATGAGTGTATTGTTTCCATATGTGGAACTGTACCTGTGTCATGCAGTGCCCACAGAGGTGAGAAGAGGGTGTCAGATCCCCTCAAACTGGAGTTAAGGTTGGTTATTAGTCACCATGTGGGGTGCTGGGAATCAAACCCAGGTCCTCTGCAGGAGCAGCCAGTGCTCTTACCCACTGAGCCATCCCTCCAGCTCCCTAATAGGTTATTCTTTAAGGATTCTGGATTTATAAGCATTTGGGGAGATTGTATTCTAGTGTCAGCTTTGGAATTGCCAAGATCTGGGTTGAAATGCAGGTCCTGGTTATGGTACCTTAGGCATATTCTTCAATATTTTAGAGATTTGCTTTTATCTATAAAAGCAGAATTATAATTCCACCACCTAATTTCTTGGGAAAATTAAATGAGCCATTTATACAGAGGCATAGTATTTGGTGCCTACTTATTAGAAGTCATTTAATAAATGTGGTTCCTTCCTATTTAAATTCTTTCCTTTCTCACTGAAGTAAAAATTCAGGGATGTTATGGTGTATTTGTGACAATAAAGAAAAGATTCTACTCCCTCATTTTTTGTCAAGACCTATACTTTTAGATCTAAATTATAAAATCAACTGGATAGACATATTTCCTATTACCTCCATAGCCAGAAGCTCAGGTGGTATTAGTGGTTTGAAGTATATGTGCTGAAAGGATTTTTGCTCAATAATAATATTAATCATTATCAAGTAAATCTTATAATATTCTGAAAAATCAGATATATAGCATCCATATTTTTCCTACCCTAAACTATCCTTCTTAAAATATCCTTAAAGGGGCTGGAAAGATGGCTTAGTGGTGAAAAGCACTTGCTGTTCTTCCAGAGGACCTGGGTTCAGTTCCCAGCACCCACATTAGGTGGTTTACAACTCCTTGTAACTCTAGTTCCAAGAGATCTGACACCCTCTGGCCTCTGCATGCACCTGCACACATGTGGGGCACATAAAACTTAAGCAGGCACACACACAAAAAATTAATTTAGGGGCTAGAGAGATGGCTCAGCGGTTAAGAGCACTGACTGCTCTTGCAAAGGGCTTGGGTTTAGTTCCCAGCACCTTCATGGCTGCTAACAACCATCTATAACTCCAGTTCCAGGGGATCCAGTGCCCTCTTCTGGCCTCCACAGGCACTTCAAACACATGATATACATATATACATGCAGGCACAATACTCATACATATAAAATATAAATAAATAAAATATCATTAAAGAATAAAGAAGGAATTCAGGACTGACGAGATGGTTCAGCAAGTAAAGGCACTTGCTGCACAAGCCCAAGACCTGAACCCAGTTCCTGAATTCCATGTAATGGTCAAAGGGGAGAACTGGCTCAACAAAGTTGTTCTCTGATCGTCATGTGCATGAAGCATGTCACCCACACCCACACACATACACAACACATACACCCTTCACACAGACACATAATAACAAAAAAATTTTTTAAAGAAGGACTTCAGAAGTCTGACTTAAGTGCTAGATCTATTCATTCTCAAAAAAAAAATTGAGCTTTCTATCTCAATTTTTTTAAGATTTTATTTTTTATTTTTATTTTATGTGTATGAGTATATTGCCTGCATGTATGTGAGTGCACCCGTGTAGTGCAGTGCCGCAGAGGTCAGAAGAGGGCGTCTGATTCCCCTGGAACTGGAGTTAAGGACAGTTCGTAGCTGCCATGTGGGTACTGGGAATCGAACCCGGGTCTTCTGCAAGAGCAGTCAGTGCTCTTAACCACTGAGCCATCTCTCCAGCCCCCCATCTCAATTATTTACCCACAAAAGAAAGCAAATGGATTTGTGATATGTTATTTACACTTTCTAAAGAATACTTTAGGTTTTCAAAATGCAGAACTAAAATACAAAATGAGAAAAATAGAGAAAGGGAAAGAAGTCACCGTTGAGCCTGGCACTAGACACAGTCTTTGTAACATTTTGGTTCGTTCCCTTTTTGGTGAATATTGTAGTTTTGAAGGGAATGTCAGGGAAGCTGTGACTATCCAAGATTTATTTAGAGCAAATTATATGCCAAATATTCCATAAGATATTCTTATTGATTATTTAAATAACATCGTAGAAAATTGACACCATTATTTACTTTTGTGTTGTCTCTTGAATCTTGATCAGTCTCACTCGATTAGTGCCATCTTGTGTATCTTGTTCTATATATCTTTATTGTTCATGTTTATGATTTTTAATGTCTCTGATAGTGCAGGGGATTGCTATGCTGTAAGTTTGCTTATCTTTTCCTAAAGGAAACTTCAATATGAATAATGAAGAGAGGAAAAAAATGAAGCTTGTAAGTAATTTTCCAGAGTATTGATTAACCAACATACTTTCTATTTTAAATAAAGTTTATTTTTGAATTAAACCAAAATTACTGCTGAAATATACAGTATGGTATATAATATGTAGTTAATGTGGTGGTAAATACCAGTTCCCTATGGTATCTTTTTAAGTAAATGATAATAACGAAGCCATGCTTGTAAGGAGTAATGAGCAGTTTGCTTGCTATATTAAACTCCATAATAATTATCCTTTTAGTTTATCCATTAATTATCCTTTAAATGGCACATCAAGTGGTAAGCACTCAAGTGTTACAAAGCAAAGTTTAAAAAGTGATACATTCGTTAGTGCTTACCAGTGTAATTGGAAAAAATATCAGATTAAGCATAGCTAAATAGTTTTGCTCCCAAAGAGTAAATTTAAAAAATTAAAAGTAGGCATCTTACTACTTCCTTGCCCAAGAAAGAAAACAGGCAAAAAAATCAGCCTTCCTTGCATAAACAACTTCTGTTGATATTTTGGTCAGTTTGATGTGTCGAGAAAACACAAATACACTTTTACATAAGGTTAACCCTCATACCTATCATTATGAGGTATTTCCATATTGAAGTCATCAGTGACCCATTTAATATAGTATCTGGTCTTTGAAAGAACCAATATTGACCACAGTCAAATCAGACATCAGAGCTTTATTAGGCAAGAGTAAACTGTTGAATCAGTTACTGGCCCAATGACTGAAAAACTTGTACAGTTTGATCCTACCATGTGTTTTTGCAAATACCAAATCTCCCTATGTCTCTGTGTTGTTTCAGTTACGTTTTAATTGTGAAAGCCACATGTAAAGAATATACATACAGCTGAAAGGGTACCTCTTTATTACCCTCCAGATTTTGCTTTCTAAGTTCGTGGATTATTTCCTTGTCCTTGGAATAATGGGATAGATGAATAAAACTCCAGCGTTGAAACCCAGGCCTCACTCCCCTTTGCTTTCTCCCTTCCAGGTCTTCTTTGTTCTTCCCTGTCTTTTAGATCTTTCCTCATATGAACATCCCCTGTGGTGTCATTCTCTTACTTCCCTTCCTCATTATCCACTCTCCTTCCGACCCTCACGGCCTGTGATCATTTTCCTATTATGTCATTTTAAAAAATGAACCTGATTCTAAAGTGAGCCTGTATCGTTAAGAGTTAGGAAACACTGGCTGGTTGGCTCAGTTGGTTGTCAGATGGTGCTAATGAGATACAGGTCAGGGGTATGCTCTCATATGGGACTGTTAGTTTTTTGGTTTTTTTTTTTTTTTTTTTTTCTTTGTTGAATGGATTCAGACTACACCCCTGGCTTTGATCAGCTCACTCATAAATGTTTCTAGTGGTCAAAAAGAAGTGTGGGCAGCTCTGTACAAATCTAGTCATGCTAAGGAATACCCACACAAAGTTTGCTTCCAGTGAATGTTCAGTTCAACAAATGTGGACTCTGTTCTGTGCCAGAAGGGAATACAACACGAAGAGCTGCCTTCCCTACCCTAAGAAAGCTTACTCTCCTGGCTTAGTGCCAGTAAAAGACTAATAGAACTCTAAGGCAATCTGAAATCGTAATCCTAGAAATTGCTACAAACACACAAAGATCTGGGAATCTGAGCTTTCAGGGAAGAAATCGCAGATGAGCTTGTAAACTAGGAAACACGTAAAATAGAAAAGTAATTCATGTTTAATCTGTTATGAAAATGATATTATTAAGAGAACAAAAAGGAGGGTATACATGGGGAGAGAGAGTCACTAAGAGTTATTTATTAAGCACTTACTATGTGCCTATATCTGGGCTAGGCTCACTATATAGCCCTGACTGGTCTAGATTACCTATGTGGCCTCGACCTCACGGAGATCCACCTGTCTCTGCCTCCTGAGTGCTGAGATTAAAGGTACTGACCACCACACTCTGAAATTTTATTTTTGATTGAGTTTTATTTTTGGTTGGTTGGTTGGTTTGGTTTTGAGACAGGGATCTTTCTGTATTGCCCCAACTGGTCTCAAACTTGTGATCTTCCTCCCTCGGCCTCTAAGTGCTGAGAATAGAGTCATGCACTACCATGCCCTGATTGACTTTTGTGTTTTACATAGAAGTACAGTACATACCCAGAACTTAGTGCACAAAATATCTCTGACCAGCTTGGTGAATTCACCACAAAAGCAAAACTACTTCACCTGGCTGCCCCTGCACATTCTTCTGTTCTCTGGTGAAGCAGAGCAGCAAACTTTCCTTCTCAGACCAGACACTGCCTGCTGGGTCTCGGGCGTCACTCCTGGGCCCTTACCCTCCTGCTTTTCCCTGTGCTCATTACCTTATAATCCCCGCCCACCACCTGTTTCTCTTTGAGGACTGGCTGGGCATACTGTGGTCACTGCTTGTTCCTTAGCCCAAACTCAGGCTGGCTACATGGTTAATGTTGAACAAATATTTGAATAAGTGCCTAGTAAGGAAGAAAGGAATGAAAGGCAAAAAGGGAATGAAAAGAAAAATGTGTTACTATTTTTGAAGAACTTAGGGGAAGAACCAGGGGAAACAACTGCAGACCATTATAATATATAGATCATTATAATATGACAGCAACCAAAAGATGCGGAGGACACCATCGCAGCCTGAAGGACTGACCAGCCGTCAGCCTAGCCTGGATCCAGAGCACGTGGACAAGGTCCAGACCTAGCCTGCTCTGAGTAGGTCTGTGGCCTCAGGCTGGCTTTGGCCTGATGTGGATCACCCCAGCATTGCTACAGGCCCCATCTAGTTGGCCTAATGTGCTTCAGGAAAAGTTCAGGGTCTCTCCAGAAACAGCCATCTGGAGATGTCAGTGTGCTAAAAGGGAAAAAAACATGAACTCTTGAGTTGGGGTCTCGGTCAGAGTCCCACCTCTGTCTCTTTGTAGTTGTGAGAGCTTGACCCCTTTACCTTTTAACCTATTTCTTATCTGTAAAATGTGATGATTAGAGTTATGAGTATTAAACATGAAAAGTGATTTATAAAGTGCTCTGTATACATCTCAGGATCCAGACCCAGTGTTCCTCAAATGTTATAAGGGGTTAAAGGCACTTTAAAAATACAAAGAAGTATGAACTGTTACACTGATTTATTATCCTTGGACTCTGTTTCCTGGTTGGTAAAGCACAAGGCCTGGTGCCGGTTGCTTAGCTCAGGCCAGTTTCCTGTTATAATGGCAAATATTACCACCCGGCAGGGGTTGTGAATGAGGTCCCTGTCACAAAGCACATGGCCTTGTTCCTTAATTGCCAGGGTGGAATTAATTTGCTCTTCCTGTTTCTCTTGTGACAGGAAGTAGATGTCCTTGAATTTCAGTTGATTAATGGAGGCCTGGGAGCAGAGTCCTCCAGCCTTTCTTGCTTTTAATCCTTATGCAACGCATGGGCCTAATTTGATAATTTTGCTGTTTTTCAGATGGATCACCTACTGGTTGAAAATATTGAGCGGGAAACGTTTCATCTCTGCTCCCGCCTCATTAATGGGCCGTACAGGCGGACGGTGCGGGCTCTGGTCTTCACATTAAAGCACCGAGCTGAGATCCGGGAGCAGGTGAAGAGCGGCGAGATGCCGGTCGGCACGTTTGTACAAACCCACAAAAAGTGACCTGAGGACGGTCCCTACCCTGGGCCAGGCAGAAAGGAAAATGGGCCTTGCTCGGCCATTCAAAGAGTCTTTTGAGTTTGGGTGAGGCAGGTGCTGGCTGTGCTGGATTTTCCCATGGTGCCATTCCTTCAGACAAGATGCAGGGATCCCTGGGAGACAGGCCTGCAGGAGCTTGCTTCATTAGCTGCCTCATGCTGCCACTGCCTAACAGGATGCACACCGGCTGTCACTAGAAAGTACCATACACTTGCCATCACCCAACACAGTGGAAGGGTGACGGATTTCACAGTGAGCTTGCCAAGGACACCTCTAAACTCCCCCATGTCAGGCAGATGAAGTTACCACTTTATTTTGCCACCCTGCAGGTAACTGAAACTCAATTACCACTGCTGCTCGCTCAGTTCCGTCCCCTTGAGTTTAGACAGCTCTGGTGCCTCTCAGAACTCCCCTGTCTGTTCTCTTTGCTCTACCCCAGGGGTGAGCCTGCCAGAGCCTGCGACCAGCCCTGCTTGCCAGTGCTCACTTATCTGAGCCTTTCAGCTCTCCCTGGAAGACCTTCAGGGATGGTCTCCCAAGCCCCCATGCTGAGGCTTCTAATGAGCTGGCCCAAAGCCTCCCCATACCTCAGGGTTTATTTGAATAGTCGCTCTGTAGAAGATGCATAATGAAATTTCTCTCACAATAACTTACTGCAGTAGGAAAAAATACATATTTTCAATGAAATACCTCTATACAAGCCTGCTCAAATGATTATGTAAGTGATGCTTACTTTTCAAAAAAGTAACAATAAACTGAGATGTGTATCCTAAAACAAGAAGTGTAGTTTCCTCACTGAAAAGCTCTCCAGACTGGGCGTGGTGGCTACTGCCTATAATTCTGGCATTTGGGAGGCTGAGGCAGAAGGATTCCAATGTGTTCAAGGCCATCTTGGGCTATATGGTGAGTACCAGGCCATCCAGAGCTACATAGTAAAACCATGTCTCAAAAAAGAGGAGAGGAGGGAACAGGAGGGAGTAGAAAAAAAGAAGGGAGGGCGAGTGGGTGGGCAGGACAAAACAAATGGTGCTGCAGGTTGGGAAAGGATGCAGCTGCTGAAATTAATGGGACACAGATTTGAGGGAGGCAGATACAGTGGCACACGCCTACTCGGGAGGTGGATCCCTGGGAGATCTAGGCCAGCCTGGTCTACATAGTTCCAGGCCAGCTGGGGCTACAGGGAGACCCTGTCTCCAAAAAAAAAATTGAGGGAGGTAGCAAGACTCAAGGAAGGCTGTTTAGAGTTGGGGAGAGTGGGGCACATTTGCAGTGTGAAGGGAAGGAAACAATAGAAAAGGAGAGGTGAGAGCTTGAAGAGAAGGGGATGGGTTGGAAAGCAAGGTTGGAAGGAAAGGGGCTGATGGTACCTACCTTGCTAGTGCTTCTTGGTCTGACATGATTGATGTGGATCTTCAGGTAGTTTTTAAAAATATTTATTATTTTTATTTTATGAGTGTTACGCCTGCGTGTATGTAAGTGCACCCTTGTCATGCAGTGCCCACCGAAATCAGAAGAGGGTTTCAGATTCCCTGGAACTGGAGTTACAGTTGTTAGCCTCTATGTGGGTGCTGGGAATCAAACCCAGGTCCTTTGCAAGAGCAGCCAGTGCTCTTAACCACTGATCCATCTTTCCAGTCCCTTCATGTAGTTTTAAATCCTGTTTCTCTTACCTATTGTATTACATACTCTTGTCTCAGTGGCTCAGATTCAGTCACATTCTCAACACCCGTTAACCAAGCATGGGGCCCAGTGGATACACAGCAACAACCACAGGTGCAACCTGGGCTCAGAGATCAGAAAGTCTTATTTACTTTCCCCACTGCTAGTAACTGTTGAAGCTAGATTCATAACCAAGCACTTGTGGCCAGCACCGTGGTTGCATTTTATGAAAAGAAGATGCCCAATTAAAGATGAGAAAAGGCTCAAAGAAGTGACGTGTACTAACCTACCCAAGGTCACTGATCGTGAAGTCACCAGTATGTGCACCTACTTATGTATTTATTGGTCATATCCACTGTCATATTTTCTTTTTTATGTTATTTATTTTATGTGTGAGTGTATTGCCTACATGTATGTAAGTGCACCTGTGTTGTGCAGTGCTCAAGGAGGACAGAAGAGGGTATCAGATACCCCTGGAACTGGAGTTATGGATAGTTGTTAGCCGCCATGTACGTGGTGGGAATCGAACCCAGGTCCTCTGAGCAATCTCTCCAGCTCCCACTGTCATATTTTCAAGCATCATCTACCTGCTGATAGTATTCCCAGTTTGTATCTTTAGCCCACAGCTGACTGAATTTCTGATGGTACCTCCTCAATACCCCATGGACATCTAAGACATTACATGCCTTCTCTTATTTGGCATTGTGGTAACCTAGGCACTCCATCTAGAAACTTAGGAGTCAGCCTGGCCCTGCATCGCCTTCCCTTAGTCCACCGAGTCCTGGTGGTTTTATTGCCCAAATATATTTAGATTCTTCTGCCTCTTCTTCATCTCTAGTACTTCAGGACTTCACCCTCTTTTGACCAGATGACAACATAGGCTCCTGCTGACCCCTCTGCCTCCTATCTCACTCTTTCCAGATTTGCATCTCTGCTATAAACGAAATGATATATCAAAGCTGGAAATCCCACTGTCAATCCCTCATTAAAACCCATCAGTGGATCCCTATCACCTATAGGATAAAACCCAAGCACTTTAATGCTGTTGGCAAGGCCGTCTCCTCTGCTCTTGTCTCTCTAATCAGGCTGGAGGCTGCTGTGAAGCAACTTTGCTCTCACAGACTGTTCCCCTTTCTAGAATGTTCCTCTGCCTAGCTCCTTTCCTGAACCCTACCCTGTGTGCTACTGTAGGCACATCCATGTGTTCTGTGGTTAAACTTATGATTCTGTCTCCCACTGGATTGTGCCTTTCTGCTGTCAGAGATCCTGTCTTAATAGGGTATCTTCTGTGCCCAGAACAGTACTTGATAATGGTAGTAGCTTGTAAATACTTATGGAATAAATGGATGTCCAGATGTCTCTGCTTTTCATGGTTCTCCTGTAGTCTATTATCCACACAGTAGTCAGAATGAGCCTTTTAAAATGTAAAACAGGGGGGCTGGAGAGATGGTTCAGTGGTTAACATTGGTTGTTCTTGCAGAAGACCCAGGTTCAAATCCCAGCACCCACATGGCAGCTAACAACTGTCCGTAGCTCTAGTCCCAGGGGATCTGACAGCCTCTTATGACCTCCATGGGCACACAGGTGCACTTATCTATATGCAGGCAATACACACATACACATAAAATAAAAATAATAAAAATTTTTAAAGCTTAAAAATAAATATAAATAAATAAAATGTAAAACAGGCTGGAGAGATGCCTCAGTGGCTGAGAGCACTGGCTGCTCTTGCAGAGGACCTTGGTTTGGTTCCCAGCATCCACGTGGCAGCTAACAACTGCCCGTAACTCCAGTTCCAGGGGATCTGACATCCTCTTCTGACCTCTCCAGGCATTGCACTCACCTGGTGCACTTCTATACATGCGGGCAAAACACTTATACATATAAAATAATAATTTTTTTAAATGTAAAGCAATTCCTCTCTATTCTCTGCTCAAAACCCTGTGGCTTCCATTTACTTAGTGCAAATTCCTAATCTGTGTACCCTTGCCCCTGACTGACTCTTTGACCTCATTTTTCAACATTTCCTTTCTCAGACTTCCTTGTCCCACTGTCCCTTGCTGTTTTCCACCAAGTATGCTTCTGCCTCAGGGCCTTTACACTTACTATCTGACTCTCAGTGTTCTGCCCTCACTAGAGTCAAGTCTGGATTTCTCTGATCAGAAAGGCCTTCACTGACTACCACAGGTGCGATTACACTGCCTTCCAAACATTCTGTAACACTTCAGTCTTGTCTAGGACTAGGGAAGTAGCTCAGTATAGAGTGCTTACCTAGCTTGTGCAAGGCCTTGGGTTAATTTGATCCTCAATACTGCAAAACAAAACAACAAAACCCAAAAATCCTGGTCTATCCTGTTTTATTTTTCTTCAGAATATTTATCACTCTTTGGCAGTTATTTCATTTGTTTGTTTGTTTCGAGACAAGGTCTTGCTTGTAGCCTAGACAAGCCCTGAACTTGAGCTCTTCTTGGCTCAGCCTCTCAAGCACTGGGATTGTAGGAATGTACCACCACCCTAGCTTTTTATTTTATATAGATATATAGATATAGAGTTTCTTCCCCTTTCAAGAATTTAAGCTTCCTAGGACTGGAGAGATGACTCAGCAGTTAAGAATACTGACTGCTCTTGCAGAGGACCTGGGTTTGGTTCCCAGCACCCACGTGGTGGCTGACAATCGTCTGTAGCTTCAGTTCCAGGGGATCCAAAATTCTCTTCTGATCTCTGCAGGCATTGCACAACATGGGTGAACTTACATGCATGCAGACAATACACTTATTCACATAAAAATAAAAAAATAATAAATATTAAAAATAAAATTTAAGCTTCCTGGAAGCAGTCTTTGTTTTGTAGTTTCCTCCCTACTGAATCTCCAGAACCAGGAACAGAGCCTGGTGCAAGCTAGGTGTTAGTAGCTATTGATTACATAGTTGAATGACCAGTCATGGGCATGTAGGAGAAGCATTTTATCTAATCAGAATGCTTCCTGGAGGAGGAGGTCCCTGCACATGGTTTTAAGGGACAGAAGTCATTAATTGGATGATTGAGGTGCCTGCTTTGCAGAGAAGCAGAGTATGGAAAGACCCATGGTGGCTGTCTAGCTGGATTAGAGACCACATGCTAGAGATGAAACAGGAGAGGAAGCCAAGGACCAGGCTAAGGCATTTGAACAGGTCAAGTTTGTGGTAACTGGCTCTGTGGAGAAGAAGCTGGGCCAGGAGAGAAGAGGAGGAGGAGGCCTCATTATAAACAGGCAAAGAATTCTCTTAACTTAGGAGCCCAGAGTAAGTTGAGAACAAATTGCTTTCTGCCTGAAAGGCTTCAGTGTGATAGTTGGAGAGTAAAATGATTGCAGAGATGTGCCTTGGAGATTGAGAGAGCAGCTGTGTTATTTGTGGCTGTTTTCTCCTTGATGCATGAGCAGAATTTCCACGAATGCTAATGGGGCTGCTCTGAAGGAAGGAGGCTGCAGCCAGCCCTCGATGCTTGCCCACCCACCCAGAAGCACTTGCGGGCTCCAGATGGTTAAAAATGAAAGGCTTGCTCCTGGAATAGAATGGGAAGTTCCTGGCCCTCTGAGTCACCTGTAAGACTGGGTGTTATGTGTCTAATACATGTGTTCAGTTGCTAGAGGAAATTTTGGAAACATAAATACCATTAGAGTCCACTCTGGTGCTTATTGATCTTTTATATGGTTAAATTGAAGGTCCTGGTCCTTTGGGTAGGGGCTGAGTCTTTTTATTTTCATTTGTTCACTCGACAAACAAATGTTATGTGTCTTCTGTATGCCAAGAGCTAGAGTTGGCACTGGGGACACGGCAGTGAGTGAAATGTAATTTCTACTCAAGGGGCTCTTAGTCCAGTGAGGACACAAGTAAATAATTACAATGTGGCATGTTGGGTGTTTACTGTAGACTTTGAAATACTGAGGGAATGAGAGTGGGAGTGATTAGACTCAGGAGGAAAGATTCCTGGAAGAGTTCTATACCAAGACTGGAAGCACAGGTAAGAGCGGTAGAGTGCAAAAGCCCAGCGGTGTGAAGTGCACAGCTGGTTTCCGGGAAGGCAAAGGCAAGAGGCGTGTGCAGCATCAGGTGCCTGGGAAGCCGCACACACGTC